CAGAGACGGCCAGTCTATCTGCCTGCTCATTTTCCACCACACTAGCATGACCATGGAGAAAATATCCAAAGTGATGCTTGCCACTCTGCACGAAGCATGTCTGTCTTCACCTTTCTCAACATGTTCTGTGAGTCATTTACAGTCACGGCATGTGTGCACGGCTGATTCTCAGGCCAGCAGAAGGCAGCAGAGACTCCCTCCACCTCCATTCTCAAACTAGACGTTGTGATATCGTATACAAGGCTTGGCTGCTCTAAGCGAGGTCTATATTCGGCTTTGTGTAATTTATTACCTATACACAGCCTGACTTGACACGGTGGCTAGTTCGGCCCTGTTGTGTCGCCTGCCCGTTGATTGATACGTTTTTATGCGCAGATAACAGGCGCGTCTCTGGTCCTTCCCACCAACTTTATTGTCTGAACAAGATTAGTAGGTGTGCACGGGACTTGGTTGTGATTTTTTTGTGTTTAGGTTGTAAATACAGTATTTATTTGACTGGCAAAGACTTTAGTGGAAAAGTTAATGTGTGTGTGTGTGCATGTGTGTGTACACTTATGTGTGTGCACACATGTTTGTGTGCATGCACCGATTGTTGAGCTACATTGTATCATATTACCTTTGGCTTGTCGTGTTGGGTTAAGGTCTGGGGTATTAAAGGCAGCAGAAGAAGAGGAGGAGGATCAACAAATACACACTGCAGGTTCTATTGACAGCCCATGTAAGTTTACCTGACCCCGAGTACATTTAGGTGATAAGTAAGGATTATCGTCACAGCTCCCCAGACAGAACTGTAGGTGCTCAGTCTCCTAAATAGCTCCACAAGCATACAATGGCTGTGATCACAACCACTTTTGTTGTACTGATTAATCAACCATCTTGTGCCCTTGGTGAAATGTTCATGTTTGGCTGTCAGTTAAGTGGACTCTTGGTAAGAAGGAATGAATAAATTAAGGAAAAGAAGAAGAAGAAAAGGAAGCAGATAGTCAGCATATACACACAGTATGTTCTGGTGACAGCTACCTAGAACCAGTGGTTCTGTCTACCCTGCAGTACAGCTAAGTGTACTTGTGTTAATAACAGTGAATAAAAATACACCTGCCTACATCCAGATAAATATCATTTGTGTTGCCAAGTACTCACACTCCAGTCTGGAAGGGAGAGGAATATATCTTATGCTTATTGATCATTTACATTTCCAAAGTAGGGTTTGAAGCACCACGTTTTTGAATATTTGAAGAGAGATTCACCAAGGGCAGAGTCATTTTGATTAGGAGTCAAGATTTAAGAGAAAAGAGTTACAGGAAGACAGCAGAGAAAAATTATTGGCAGTTTTGTATTTCTTTTTCCATGATATGGAAAGATGTTAGCATATAAATTGATATATGCTGTTGAAGATTGGAGAATTATGATTGCAAACATTATTGAAAGACTCTTTTTTTCTGCATTATCCTTTAAAGATCAGTTGGCATGTTGTATTGCAGTTTTCATTTAGGCTGGAGAATTTACATATTGTTTTTACCCTACACATCATTCATCATTGTCCTGTTATGCTGTTATATGCCACATTGGGCCTGCAGGCTGTTCCTTCATTCTATTCTATCCTGTACAGTCCCTGTGATATCATAGATGGAATCCAACCCAGCCTGTCTAATCAATGTTTATTTTAGGGTTTCTTTTGGATGTTCTGTTCTTTATTAATATCCTACCCCCAGATGACGTCATAGGAGAGTCCAACATTTTAGAGGGTTGCAAGACCTGTGTTTCCCGGCTTTTTGATGCTTTTAATGACCCCAAAACATCTAGAACTGGCCATAACCCCAACCCATCTATGTCCCACGAGATAGTGCAGCTTAGGTACTACATGCAGGCTAGGTCCCACGACTGCATGCAACCTATCTACCACCCTCTGAAATATTAGACTGCCCAGTGACCTGTGGATTTCCCCTGTTTGGGGTAGGATATTATTAAATCACCGCATGTTCTTAATTATTTTTGACACAAGGAGTGTGCATGTCAGTCTGGCCACTGACTTCTCCAGAGCGGCTTTTTGACACAGCACATCTGATTTAATACCCAAATCAGTTGCTTTTAAATCACATGCTGGGTTTGTTCTTTTTCCCTCCATAAAATGGTGCCCTAAAACCCACATGAAGATAGAATGCATTTGGGATGATGATGATGATGAACCTGCCACACATCTGAGCTTTGCTCATTCTCTCCCATAAGTAAAAGTGAAAGGTAACATTTGTAAATTTCTGTAGACTTGGTGCTATCCTGATTTGCAGAAATGAATCATGGACATTTGGCCTAATTTGGTTTTATAGATGAATGATGAGAGCATCCTGGACAGAAAACAAGAGTCATAAAGATGTCTTGAAAGCAACTGACCCCAGAAGTGAACTGATCGCCCTCATCAGAAGGAGACAATCTAGTCTTTGGTCATGCCATGAGAAGGTGAAAACGAGTACATTGTGATGGTAGGATAGTTGGAAGGAAAAAGAGGCAGAGGGAGACGGAGAGAGAGGATGCTGGACTGATTTGACATCATGACATGTGTCAGAATTGGCACTCAGTGGTTAATGTGGTTAAAATCACCCTGGCCTCATTTACTTCCCAGGACTGAACCTGGTATCATTTAAGGCTGGGTCAAAGCCAAGATTATTGAAAGGGGGGGGGGGGGGCGTCCCGCTCCATCAGGACTTGAACCCACGACCTTCCGATCCCAGACAAGCATCTAGCTGTTACACCTCTCCGAGAAAAGCCCTAGCATAATTTTTCGCAGTGCTCGCAGAATGAACCCTACCCGTAAATATAAGCCCCAGTTAAGTGCTTAGTAAAATAGATAGCTTTCAAATGTCCATTGACACACGTATCGGGTGTATTGAATTATAAAGAGTGAAGTATACGACAGTACAAAGAAATAATATTATTGACATTAATGCTTGAATAAATGTACTAATGTGTGCTTGAGTAAATGTAGTTTCTTTTATTATTGCACGGGGAAGTCAACAAGTAAGTCAGAAATGATTGTGTAAAAAAAAAAAAAAAAAAAAACCAAAGACGATAACAACTTAAAAACCGTTTATTTTTACATATACACTGTCCCTTTATTTTTTCAACATAATTTCCACCAACACTGATGCATTTTCCCATCATTTTATCACTTCCCAAACCTGCTGCATAGAACTGTGTGCTCTGTTTTATAAACCACATTTTCGCTTTACATTCAACTTCTGCGTCATTCGCGAAATGTCTCCCACCAGGGTTGGTTTTTAGTGGACCAAAAAGGTGGAAATCGTTAGGGGTTCAGTCGGGGCTATAAAGTTGATGCTTCAGAAGTTCCCACATTAGATGGTTCATTTTCTCCTAAGTTAACCAAGCCGTATGTGGTCTAGCATTGTCAATAAGGAGCAGTACTCCTCTAGTCAGCAGGCCTGAAGTTTTCTTCAAATTTCACCATGAATTATTGATAGAACTTTACATTATGAATAACATTTGCATTGTCACCTCTTTTTTTTTATAAATTGGTTAAATGTAGTCCTTAACAATCCCCCAGAACACAAGTCAGCATAACCTACCCTGCTGATGGCATAAACACAAAGCGAAGAAGGATGCATTGAAGCACGCTTTGATTCAGGATGGTAGTGGTGCACCCATGATTCATCCCCAGAATAATCCTATTCAGCATGTCTTCTCCATCCTCAAGAATGTCCTTTGCAGGCAGTCTTTTTGCCCCCCCCCCCCCCCCCTCCCACATGAGGGTAAAAAACTGACAACAGAACATTGTTCTTTGAGGGTACACTCCATAAGTACAGTCACCATTTTGTTTCTGTGTTGTGAATGCACATACATCACCTAGTGCCACCTAATGAACGGAGACATAACGTTCGATGTTGCTGTCACCTAATATTACCTTTAGAAACCACCAACTATATTTTCCTGTCATCTCATAACTATCTGTGACATACTTATTGACTTTCATCTCGTATTATTGAGTTATTATTTTACACTGAAAAAAAAAAAAGACATTTCCTGAAATTAACCCTGGGGCATCTGTTGGATCAAAAATTTAAATAAGATCTAGTATTTTTTATTTTAAAGGCAAAAAGTGGTATTGTTCACTGTAATGGGGGATATTTTCACCCTGATTAGGTAGATTGGAGGGAAAGCCCCAAGCTAAAAATAATACAGAGAGAAGCCAGATACTCGGATTAACCGAGGTTTTCAAGATAGGGGACGACCATGAGTTATCACAAGGAACTAAAAGAGAATGACTACAGGTCGCCACATGGAACCCAAGAACAACCACGTGTTGCCACGTGGAACGAACACTGGGTATAACTTCAGACCTCAGTCTGGTCAAGTCAGTATGTGTTGGCCGTCAGAGCGAGAGGACGTTAGAGTGTTTAGGGAAAATGAGAACATGAAACTGAGTGTTGTGAAAGGAAGACCAGACGACAACATCCATCAAAGCCAAGTCCAGCCCAACCAAGTCCAGCCAAGCCAAGTCCAGCCAAGCCAAGTCCAGCCAAGCCAAGTCCAGCCAAGCCAAGTCCAGCCAAGCCAAGTCCAGCCCAGCCAAGTCCAGCCAAGCCAAGTGGTGTGAAGCTTGAGGAAATGACCAGATCTGTCTATGTGGTGATGTGGAAGTGAAAGCGCCGAACTCTGATCGATGAATGTGTGAGAAGTCAGCGTGTTGGCGTTTGAACAATGTGGTGCGTGTAAGCTGTGAATTAGGACACGGACGGGACCTTATATGTAAGTGATGAGATGTCAATAAACTGTATCGTACTTTAAAGTCAGTGTCAGCTTGTCCCAGTTATGTCATCTTGAGAATGTGTGCTAAGATCATTTACTAGACACATCATCTCCTAGACAACCAGCCCAAAGTCATCAACTACTTACTGCACGTAGAAGACGAATAATTGCAATATAATTATTTTGACCCAACTTAGAGTTAAAGCTTCATCAAAAACTATGTTTTGTTTGCAATCTGACAGAGCTGAACAGTCCAAAGTTTTAACAGAGGACCAGCAAGAGAATGAGAAACGGGTTGATGTTGTCAAACATGCCTTTCAGAACATTGCCAAGAAGGCCGGGGCCATACTGCAAGCCTCAGGTCCTGACTTTGACAAGAAACTTGTAAGTTGTCTTATTTGTGATTGTTTTGTTGTTGATCTTTATGTTGTCCTGCTTCAATGTGATGCTTTGTTCTGGTGTTGACTTTTGTATTGTTCTGATTGATTCGTTGTTGTGTTGTTGATCTTTGTGTTGTCCAGCTTGCATTTGATTGTGTTCTTTTGTTGACCTTTGTGTTGTCCCGCTTGCATTTGATTCTGTGTTCTTTTGTTGACCTTTGTGTTGTCCTGCTTGCATTTGATTCTGTATTCTTTTGTTGATCTTTGTGTTGTCTTACTAGCATTTGATTCAGTGTTCTGTTGTTGACTTTTGTGTTGTCCTGCTAGCATTTGATTCTGTGTTCTGTTGTTGACTTTTGTGTTGTCCCGCTTGCATTTGATTCTATGTTCTGTTGTTGACTTTTGTGTTGTCCCGCTTGCATTTGATTCTGTGTTCTGTTGTTGACTTTTGTGATGTCCTGCTTGCATTTGATTCTGTATTCTTTTATTGATCTTTTTGTTGTCATACTTCAGTGTGATGCTTTGTTCTGGTGTTGACTTTTGTATTGTTCTGATTGATTCGTTGTTGTGTTGTTGATCTTTTCTCCAGCTTGCATTTGATTGTGTTCTGTTGTTGACCTTTGTGTTGTCTCGCTTGCATTTGATTCTGTGTTCTGTAGTTGACTTTTGTGTTGTCCCGCTTGCATTTGATTCTGTGTTCTGTTGTTGACTTTTGTGTTGTCCCGCTTGCATTCGATTCTGTGTTCTGTTGTTGACTTTTGTGATGTCCTGCTTGCATTTGATTATATGTCCTGTTGTTGACCTGTGTGTTGTCAAGCTATTTGATTGTGTGTTCTGGTATTGACCTTTGTTTCATCCTGCCTCCATTTGATTTTTGTTGATGTGTTGTTGACTCTTCTTATGTTGTCATGCTGCAGTTTGATTCAGCTAGGATGTTATTGAGTTTTTTTTTACTTTAGGTTTTTATTACAGCTTTGTTATATTACTTTTAGCTTCACTTATTGTGTGTCCTGTTCAGTGCAAATATCTTATCCTTGTTTCTTAACCCTCTTGCATTTCTTCTCTCCCTAAGCTTTCCATCAGTGTCTATGTCAAGCCATGTAATTAAGTCTTTTCTGTACAAACACAAGTCAGTAAAGACAAGTAGTTTATTAAGAATAATTTTAGATGTAAGTTTGTGCCCATTGAAGAATGCTTCTCATGTGCTGAAAATCTTTTTTTTTATTTTTTTTTGTAATAATTATATTTTCAGAAAAAAGTGCCGGAAATGTTGCTTGGTCATGCTATGGTGGAGTCGGCCCAGTCTTTAGGACAGACACTCTGCTTGGGTGAGGAGAGAACATTTTATATGCTGACTGAATCTCTTGATGTTTAGTTTGATGCTTTCATTTCCACATATAAGTGTTCTGCTTGTTAACTTTTGGTTAAGAACAGAAAGGAGTGGTGACTGATTGGCTAGAAAACTGGACTCACATTTAGAAGATCTAGCTTTCAAAACCTGTTAGGTTGATGAAAATTATGGTTTGTTAAGGGCGAAAGCAAACATTTTAACCTTTGTAGTTTGTAGCGATGTCACTATCTGTGTGACCCCACATTCTCAGGCTCAAGATCCGATCCCTATTCTTGCACCACCCTAGAAAGGCAGTGAAACAGTGTTGTTGTTTTAAAGAGACAGTAGCTAGCAGCTCTCACACTTGCCTCAGGTTCGTGGTCCTAGGCTCAATCCTCCACAAGACAGATTCTTTTTTAATACATTCTTCAAATTGTATTGCTTATAGATGAATTAAGTATTCTCAAAATTTTTGTTGAATAAAGATGAATGGCATATTCTCCAAATTTTATTGCATATAGATGAATTAAATATTCCCAAAATTTGTGTTGAATAAAGATGAATGGTATATTCTCAAAGTTTTATTGCATATAGAGGAATGGGATATATTTAAAATTTTGTTGTAAATAGATAAATTCTATATTCTTCAAATTTTATTTTATTTAGATAAATGGGATATTCTCAAAATTGTGTTGTATATAGATGAATGCGGGATATCTGAAGCAATGAATCTTGAGGACTCAAAATGTTGAAAAAAAATAAGAGTTATCCTATCTTGTCTGTTAATTTTGTTGAAGGTGTTTTATGTTGACTTTCCGCAGAAACATGTGTCAACTTTGTGGTGATTGTCAGATAAACCTGGCCAGAGAACAAGTCCAGTACGAGATGCTAGTTGAGCAGGATTTCATCAACCCATTACAGAATGTTGTTGATGTAAGTGGAATCAGTCATTGTGTTTACAACAGAGGGGGAAAGCATGAGAAATAGAAAGAGAGAAAGAGAGAGAGAGAGAGAGAGAGAGAGAGAGAGAGAGAGAGAGAGAGAGAGAGAGAGAGAGAGAGAGAGAGAGAGAGAGAGAGAGAGAGAGAGAGAGAGAGAGAGAGACACACACACACACTAAATGGGTATTTACAACTGTATATAAGCTGATCATATTTGAAGTTTAAAAAAATCTATCACAAAATATACAAATTACATTTGGGTAAATGGCAGTTGGCATGAGATATTTCAGACAGGGACAATGATAGTAGTGTATTTATATTTAAGAATGGAATATTACAGATCTGATGATTTAAATGCAGGGCAGAATATAAAAAGGCCTGGGTGCCCTATTCTTGGCCTTTGGAAATAAACGTAGCTGCTCACTGGCTTGTGTATATCTTCTCTTTAGTGAATTAAACAACTCAGTCTGTTAACACACCTCTTAATGAAAGCATGTTCTATATTGCAATGCCTTATGTGCCAATAGCGACATGAAGAGGATATTGATAATTCTTTATTGCAACTGTATTGCATGTACAGCAGGCAGACTTGGGAATGCATTATTGTTATGTTTGCCTGCTCATGGCATGGTATGTTGATATTGTAGAGATGTGCGTCAGTCTGGTGGATTGTTCACACATGTTTATTTTTTTTAATTTATGAGACTTTGGTGAGTATCTTTCAAGAAGATTTTGTAAATTCACTAAAAGTGAAGTTAATAATATTTATGTTAGTAAGATATCTTATTTATAAACTTTGCCTTACATCTGCTAAAATCCCATAACAACCAAGATCAAAGTATATAAAACACGGGTTAGACCAATTTATGTGGCACTGAAACCTCTACGATTAATGTTACGAACATTTGAGAACAGAATTATTACACATTGTTGGACCTACCAAAGGTACAAACAGCGGTTAATAAAGAGTGTGTGGAGCAATAATGACATTAATAATATTTTAAACTGTTCAATCATTTCGCCTCACGAAAGCTAAATAAAAAAGGTGGGGGGAGGGAGTTATAACAGTCCTATGGCAAAATTATCTCTAGAAATAAGCATCCATATTTCGCAGGTCACTAATAAATGTAAAAATGTATTTATTTGCATTTCAGATTTTTTGGGGTTGATATAAATTTAAAAAGGGGTAATCAGTACATACAAACAGAGTGAAGTATGAAATGGAATGTATTTACTGGGGACTAAAAACCAAATAATGTATTGGGTGACTCATGCCACGACCCAGTCACCTATATCACTGAGGTGTACAGAAAAATTTGACCTCAGTTTAGCTTTACAAAAGCCACACACCCCTCTATGCTATTTTTAGTTACTGTTTTTATATTGTATCCTATTAAACACTGCACAGGCACACATAGAACACGCTGAATTTACTGTTTTCGAGAACAGGTTACTTACTGCAGACATGGCAGTGTATCGGCATTGGCAGGACTGTGGCACAGTCAGAAGTGGCTAGATTGAACCTCCTGAGTTGACTAGGTTCAGTCGCCACTAATTACAGGGTTTATGGACTGGTGGTGGTTGGGGGATATAGAGAGGGGAGGCCAGATAACAAAGAGACAGAAACTGCATACACAAAAGAGTTGAATGGGAGTAAAACATGAGGCAGACCGAGAAAATAGTGGGGAGATGATATACCGGCAAACCTGTAGAAACCCTTGGAAACAGGCCAGTCAAGGGATAAATGGAGGCAGGCAGTATCTGCTGCAGTTAACCCCAGGGGGTCAGAATACTTAAAAAGAAGAAGAGGAAGAAGAAGAAGAAGAAGAAAAAGAAACAAAAGAAGAAGAAGAAAAAGAAGTAGAAGAAGAATAAGAGGAAGACGAAAAAATAAGAAGAAGAATAAGAGGACGAAAAAAGAAGAAGAAGAAATAAGAGGAAGAAGAAGAGAAAGAAAAAGAATAAGAGGAGGAGGAAGAATAAGAAGAAAAAGAAGAAGAGGAAAAATAAGAAGAGGAAAAATAAGAAGAAGAAGAAGAAAAAAAAAGAAGGAGAAAAAGAAGAGGAAGAAAAAGAAGAAGAAGTTGCTTAAACATGGATCAGAGAAAGTGGGAGAAAATCATGTACTGATATAGAATAGAGACTGTATTTCCCCACTTCAGTTAAGTACCAGACTGAGATAAGAAAACAGCGGAGAACCTTGTTGCTGATGATTCCTTATGACTCATATTTAGGTGGAAGCTATGACACTGTGTTCATAATCTTTAAGTTACCTAAATGAAAAATAAATCAAGAATTGACTTCACTGCACTCTGAATATTCCCACATCTGCTCCGTCCCCTTCTTCAGTAGGCAGCGAAGAGTTGCTATGCTACCTTTAAGCTAATGAAGACACAGTATATCTCCAAAAATTGGTAACGCAAAAAGTCAAATGATCGCCCCAGCCACAGCCCAACTAACCATGAAATGATAATGTTCATTTGGACACTGTCACATCTGACACCTTAAGCCTGCCGTAATGGTGTGGTCACTTTGTCAGTCACTTGTTGTAGGATGGTCATTGTTCAGTGCATTTGTCTGATAGCATGCCTCTTTCCATGGCCAGTATCATCTAACCATAACCTCACCTTAAATCATCTTCATGTGCACATTTAAGTCTCCCAGTCGTGGCCTTGTGAGTACTGATCCATTTTGTGTGTGTTCAATGTTTATTCTACGTTGATTTGCATTTAAGATTCATGTGTAGCGTCATTTTCAGAACCGTTTATAATACATGAGGGCACAAACAGTGTTGTGCATAATTTATTGCCTAGCACATTTCCCTCTCCCACCGTAAAGTGCTTTACTAAAGAGTTTACCGCAGCATATAATATATCACAAATCTTGAATTTTTTAAAATTGTTCATCCATACCATGGCGTGGCTAAATACACAAGAGGAAAGAGAGAGAGAGGGGGAGTGAGAAAGAGAGAGAGGGATGGAGAGAGGGAGGTGTACAGAGCCAGATCTGATGTACAAAATAATAAACAAATTGACATATATTGATTGGCACTTACAGAAAGAGAGAGATCACATATACTAAAAAGCATAAAATCAAAGCTGTCACCTTGAAGTAATGACAACCCCCCACAAACTCTGATGTACAGAAGGGATTCTTGGATAGTCACTAGATTAGATTGGTGAGGGAACATGGATTCTGCAAACATCTATGTGTTTATATCAAAAGACAGTGTCAGATAAAAAACCTGATAAATATTTTTTTAAAGAAATGAACTCACACGAAAAAATAATGACCTGAATCAGAAGACAATCCAAATTCTCTGGGCACACCATGAGAAGGGAAAAATACTAGAGTATATAGTGGCAACATGGAGAGAGAAACAGGGGAAACAAAGTGAGAAGATAATATGCAGTGTAATACTGTATGAAGGAACATGTGTTTAAAATGATTGTGAGTACCTGTAACAAAGGCTAAGGACATATAGGCATGACCTATACCACACAGCATGGACTTTAAGAAAATGAAGAATGTCTTCCTCCTACTCATAAGCATAGGCTGTAATGTTTTGCCATCTCGCATAATCACTAGAATCACTGATCAGTTCACTGTTTTTGTCTTGCCTCATCTGTATGGCTAAGCTGTCCAGATATTTTTCTCTTTGTTATCCCCTTGCTCTTTTTTTTATCATTCATGCCCCTAGTTACCTACATCTCGAGGCTGTTCCTTCTGATAACATGTCTGAAAATCACTGACCATCTATGTCTCATTTTTCGACTCTTCTTCGAACTAGCGGTCAAACAAATACCCTAACAGGGCCTCAGTCGTGTGTAAAATGTGGACTTTCTCCGACGAACACATCGCGGCAAAACTAGGATTACTGTCCATTGACAGTTTTGAGAAACGCAACAATACACACGATAATAGCGACATGGCGTGAAGACCACGCTCTGCGACGCAGGTTAGCGATAGTGTTCTTCTGATTAAACTCACCGCTGAGCGTATCCCCCGTGCCGCTGCGCACGGCGCGAATTGGAGGCTAAACTTGATGGCTGGGACTCACGAGCAGCAGCTACCGCATCTCCTGCAACTTTCTCCAGTTTATTTGCTCGTGAGTCCCAACCATCTAGTTTAGCTCCCAATCCGCGCTATGCGCAGCAGTGTGGTGAATACTGTCGGCGATGCGCCATAGTCGCAGAAACAGGTCTACAATTAACATATCGCTGAGAGCCTGTTAGAGTATTTGTTTGCCCTCGATAATATTGGCCCGTTATTCGGAGGCAATCCTAGTTTTGCCGCGATTTGTTCCTCCTCAGGCACTCTGCAATTTGCATATGACTGAGGCCCTGGGAGCAGAGGACAGATCATGATCTCAAAATCCTAATGGTAGGCAGAGGATCACACTGTCATGACAGAGGCAACGGAAACCCAATCCAAGAAGGAAAGCAGTAGCAAACTACCTTCTTCAAGATGCCAAAATAGTCATTGAGAATTTACTTGTATCCACATATGCGTTTAAAAAAAATGAATTACATATAGCAGCTTCTATAAACACTAGTCAGTAAACATTACACTTACAGTGTTTACAGATACCAGAGGAATGCTAGCTCAATAAGCTGTTGCTGCTGTGCATGTTTTTATGAGTAATATGCTTGGGCTTAAGTTATGTCATCCTGTTTTCTGTGTACTTAATGCTTGTTTACATTGTGTTTGAGCAGTGTGTTTTGCATGCTTCAGTACGAGAGATATGTATGTCTACTATTTCTCTTGTGTTACTGGGGTCCAAAAGTAAACTAATACTGTAAATCAGTGGAGCTGGTTATCTACAGTCTGCAGACCTCTTTTATTCTTGAAAGTCTGCCATAGATCTTGTACCTTTTAATAAATACTCATATGAAAACCTTCATCAGTATTAGAACTGCAAAAATGGTTCCATTATAAAGTTGCATTTAAAAGATAAATAAAAATCAAGTAATCACAGTTTTAACTTCATAG